TCTCTCTCTCTCTCTCTCTCTCTCTCTCTATCTCTCTCTCTCTCTCTCTCTCCCTCCCTCCCTCCCTCCCTCTCTCGTTTTCCTTTCTTCCTCTTCTCTCTCTCTCTTTTCCCTCCTCCTTCCTCTCCCTCTCCTTCTTCCTCCCACTCCCTCCCTCCTTCCCTCCTTCCTTCCCACTCTCTCTCCTTTCCATTATCCTATTCCCTCCCATCTTCTCTTCGTCCCTCCCTCCTTCCCACTCCCCCCCCCCTTCCCCTCCCCCTCCAGGCCCTCCCCGGACCCCGACTGGAGAAGAAGCCCCTGAAAGTGATCCAGCCGAAGGGCGGGGCGGGCGGCAGGCTGACGAAGGACCCCGAACTGGGCCCGAAGAACGGCAAGACCGCCATCAGCTGGTTGCCCCGGATCCCCTACGGTCCCTGGATCAATTGCACGTGGAAGGTTGCAGTCGACACTCGCAACATCGTGCAGCTCGATATCTTGAGGTTCGATACCGGCGTGAAGGATATTATGAGGGTGAGTTTGTGATGCGCTTTTTTTGTCTGTTTTGTTTTGTTTTTGTTTTTTAGTTTTTTTGTTTTTTTTTGTCTTAATTGATTCATTTGTGTTGTTTATTTGATTTCTTTGTGTTGTTTATTTCATTGTTTATCTATTTTGAATTTTTTATCCAATTATTTATCTATCTGTTTATCTATTTTGATTTGTTTATTTATTTATCTTTCTGTTTATCTCTGTTGATTTGTTTATTCATTTGTTTATCTATCTGTTTATTTAATTTTTGGATAACGCTGCGCGGAAGGCAGATTAACACTTGAAAATAATTGAGTTTTTTTGTGTCTGTGTTTTTGTTTTGCTCGGAAATAAAGGTAGATTTTGACTTTAAAGAATAATCATAATAATGTTTTGCGTATATATAAGACACCGACAAAAGCTCGCTCCTCTCGGTCCATTCTGTGATCTGAATTCGAAGATTATAAATGAAACGTTTCGGTAAATGCTTCACACTGAAAACAAGATGAAGCACAAAGACGTATTTCACAAATAAAACCTAATTTAGTAAACCAAATTATTTAGGAAGTTTTTTTGATAAACAAAAAGTTATCCATTAACTGTTCCTATTATGCTTCTATTATTCCAGACAAATGCACAAAATCACTTGTGCAAATTAATCAACTGCTGTGCGAGTTTCCTTAAGGGTGTGCGAATTAGAGTACGTTTGTGCGAATTAGGGTAAGCTTGTATGAATTAGTTAACTATTGTGCGAATTAGCGTTCGCTTATAGGAGTTGGTATATATGAGTGTTCGAATCATCTTATTTGTTGTTGTGCGAATTGGCTTCGGGTTGTGCGAATATGCTTCCTCTTGACAATGATTGTACCGCTCGTATTTCTTTCAAACGATTCCTTGTGCACTCAGGGATGACGTCATACTTATTCGCACATTTTTGTGAAAAAATTGTTTATCTTATTGTTTTATTAATGATACCTTTATTTCCCCTCGATTCTTTGTGCACTCAAGAAAGACGTCATTCTTATTCGCACATTTTTTTGGGAAAAAAGGGTTTATCTTATTGTTTTATTAATAATACCTTTATTCCCCCTCGATTCCTTGTGCACTCAAGGAGGACGCCATTCTTATTCGCACACTTTTTGGTCTATTAATAATACATTAATTACCTTCTTAAATGAAAGAAAAAGCCGTTTTAGTTTAACCTCAAGGCATTTCTGAAAATTCAATACTTCAAAATTTTAAAGACGTGAAAGAGTAACGACTTTGTGGAGCCTTTTACTTTCGTTCGCTTTATTGAAAGAAACACCCGCCAATTTCTGCAATATGGTGTTCAATAAACGTCTTTTTTTTAGACTTTTGGTAATATTTATGTGCGTTTATTTTGTGTTGTTCTTATGGTTTCTGTTTTCGTTGCTGGCCACGTTTTCTTTCACCTCCGTTTTTTTTTTTTTTTTTTTCATTTTTCTCTTCTTTCTTTTTCTTCGTTTTCTTTGATAGCTTTTTGGCGATTAAAGTTGTCTTTTTGGGCTTCCTTTCTGAATTGGAATAATAATAACTTTTACATTCTATTAATCTATTGTTATTGTTATTTTTATTATTATTATTATTCATTATTATTATCAATTATTGTTATTGTTATTACTATTATTATTATTATTATTATTATTATTATTATTATTGATTATTATTATTCGTTATTATTTTTATCATTATTATCATTATTATTATTTTGTTCTTTGTTTTTTTCATTTATTTATGTTTTTATATTTTTTTCTGTTCGCATTTTTTTTTTTTTTTTTCGTGATCACTCACTCACTCACTCAAACACACACACACACACACACACATACACACACACACACACACACACACACACACACACACACACATCAAACAAGTGTAATTCATTAATAGCTTTCCTTTCTTGGAAAATTCTTGATAATTTGATTTTTTTAGATCATTTTCCCCAGAAACATAATTTTTTCTTCTCTTT